ACAATGTAATGTATGTATCAAAATTATGATTATTACCAAATAATCATATGTAAGCTTAATAAAATAGTTCAATCTCCATGCGAAGCACGAATAATTTACCTAGTTTATATATATTTGTGTATAAAAAGGTAAGTCTATACGACAAACATGTTAACACCAATGTTGTAGCAATTAATTCACCACTAATATGAATAAGCCAATCAACATTAATCAATGTTGGATATAAGTGCAAGTAACATTCATCAAAAAAATTCAAATTTCAACATAAACCAAAAAAATTCAAATGCATAATTTTTTTTGTAAAATCCAAAAAAATAAAACAATTATACACCAATGTTGATTCTGTTGCGCAAATTTAGGGTAAGTCTTTTTCTTATTCTCGGGTGTACCACATTTACTACAAGTGACTTTAATCCTCTTGACTTTTACTTCGTTGAAGCACTTCTTACGGTCGTTATTTGGTGGTCTGCATAGTAGTTTACTTGCAATTGGTGGTATCATTATCTCTTTCAAAATATGCGATGGAATATCCCAAGTGCTTTCGCAAGGCAATGGTTCAATTGGAATTGCATAAGTATCTTGAAAATTCTTATTACTATAATAGACTGAACAGTAATCTTCACGATGTTTGTTTCTGTATCTGATAGCTACAACTTCGTGACTACAAGAAATCTCATCATGCTGAAATCTTCCACAACTACACATCCAAGTATTTAGACAGACCGTGAATCTTTTTGCACCATCTATAATTGTATGAAGATATTCTGTTGATGCACGCACCTTCATTTGAAAACAAACCAAATTAATAATTAAAAAAACCAACATTCTATAAAACCTTAAAGAATTGTTAATACTTGCAATCATACGATGCAACATATTTTTATTGTCCTACAACATTTCATTGTACTTATTGGTTAAGGTTGTTGTAGTTTTTCTACCTTCTTCATTGTGTTTCTCATTTCAAGCTTAAAATGTTTTGCGCACAAATTCCAACAAAGGCACCACTGACAACTTTCTTCCAACCAGAATAGCATTATTTATTGACTTCACAATGTTACTTGTTAATGTCCACGTCCTCTTTACTATTGTATTCAAACAAGGTCATTTTTCATAATTTGCTTTCTCTAGATATATATGCACGGTATTTTGGATTAATCTGATCCATTCTTCCCATCAGTTCATCAAATTCTTGCATAGTATATGTTTTTGCCAAACTGAAGAATAATTTTCTCACCTCTTTAGTATCTCCACGTGTTTTCTTTAATAAATTGGTCCACAGATGATAAATACATGCATAATGTCGAAATTCGAGATAATCATATACTCTTATTTCTATCAGAAACAAAGCACATACCGTCTCTATCACCAAATGTATTTTTGAAATTCTCAAAAAATCACAACCATGAATTGTCATTTTCTGAATCAACAATGTCGTATGCAAGTAGCAAGATGTGTCCTATAAACAAACCAGATTTTACACCATAAGCCACAAACTTAAATTGATATATGAACAATATACAAATATATATAAAACAAATTAAATATCTTTTAACAATAAATATCATACCTCGAATTCAATGTGCTAGCTATCAACATTTTTCCTTTATAAGTTAATTTTAAATGTGTACCGTCGACTGCCACTATTGGTCGACAATACTCTCATCCTCTAATACTGACATCAAAATATTGTAAATGAATATAAAAAACAATTTTCATCTTTTTTTTATAATTCACAATTGTCCCTTGATATGTTGTTTCCAATATATATAAATACATCGGTATTTTTCCATATGATTCTACAGGATCACCTCTCAATTTCTTGAAAGCCTTTTCCTTTCATCTCCATGCTTGCATGTATGTTAATGAAATTTCATGTATCCTTATCATGTCTGCTTGTATGTCAGTAGGTGTGTAAATTATTTTTGCATCAACAAATTTTTTGATTAACATTGCACCAATCACACCACTAGTAGACTGACGCTTTGTATGAATGTTGTCCTTCAATGGACACATATGTGTATCGCAAAATTTCCTCATTTTGAATAAATCAGACTTATTCAAACACGATGATTTAAAAAGTCATGAACAATTATTGATAGGACATTTCAGATAATAACTGTTAAAATACAATCACAAATAGGCATGGTAAGTTGTTGAAATATATATTGAATAATTGATATACGAAAATATATTTCTTACCAAGTAGTACTCGACCTAGTAGCAATGAAACAAAATTCCCTTAAAAATGCATATCGTTTCATAACTTCTGATATAATGTGCTTGTTTGGATAAATTTGATCTTAGATCTGCCACCAAATCGTGTTGAGGATTCGAGATTATTTCAGTTCCTTCAATAAATTCATCCAAAATTGGATCCACACCAGTCAAACATAGGGTATTTGATCTGATAATTTCTTACCTTGTTGTTTGGACACCAATTTGGTACTGAATAACTTCCATAACTCTATCCACACATGTTACACATAATGGATACTTTGAAAAGTAATCAAAATTATATTTTTTTTTATCTAAATAAACTTGGACACCCATATCGTTATGAATCTTCATTGGTGGAGATGGACCACTCACGACACATTTGAGTTTTAAATGAAAAATTGTTGTGTCCACACCCAATTGGAAAGCTAGTAATTAAGCCTTCGTATTTGGTGTTCGCATCATATATCACTCCTTCAATATTGTAATCCGCATACTTACCTGTGTTAGATTACAACTTATTGTTAGTCAATCTCCATAATATTTAGTGAATTTATTAAATAAGTATTATCACATATATCACATATAAAGAGAATGGTGTTTACAATGTGTTCAAATTAAACAGATTGGTTTACAAAACTTTTTTTGCTTATATGAAAATGTTCATCTTATTGGTATACAAAATGATTTATAACCTAAGTTAGTTTTCTAGTATGAACTATACCAACACAATCTAATAAATAATATAACCAATTTATTATTTCTTCTCTAAACTTTCAATGGATATACCTTAATTCATATATATCAAATATGGTGTTTACAAAAGTCATTAACAACAAATTCATTTATCTCAAATATGGTGTTTACAAAACACCAAAAAACTAACAATTACTTCAATACATGTACCAAGAATACGTCAATTGCACCAACAAACTATACCAAAATAAATAAAGGGTGTTGATGTTTATTAAAAACCTAATATACAATATTGATTACACTATATCATTTACAAAAAATACACTATCAACCAACCTATTTACCAAAAAATATTCACGGAATGACGTTAATACATGACTCAAAATAGACCATCAATTTCACCAAATAATCTATCAAAATACAATCAATAATACACCGTCATAATCAACTTAAAAAAACCCTCACAATTACACCAAAACAGATGCCAAAAAAACAATCACGAACCGACAGATTAATAACAAGTTATTATACACTATCAATTACGCCACATTATCTATCCAATTTCAATTCCGAAAAATGATGTTTTTAAACGACTTAAAATACATCGTCCTATACAATCATACAATCCTAATATGGTCGTATTTCGAATTAAAATTCAAGAAATAAAATTACTGTAACAAAAAAACATATACCACCCAAATAGTTATAAGCCAGAAATAAAAACACCAATATGTTACATACATTAATTAAAAGAATCACCAATTCAGTCGTTAGTTATCACACATATATGATGCGTCCCATCGTCTGTTGTGTTGAAGTAGAATTGAAACGATGTTGGTATCTATAATTGAATAATCTTTCAGAATAAGGAGGTAGAGAGGTTGTTTTGGTTAAAAGTCATTTTTTTTTATGGGAGAGAACATATAACCAATTTGAGTAAATTGTAGAAGATAAAAGAATGGGAGAAAATCGTGGGTCATTATTACTATGCTTCATGTTTTTTTTTGTTTTTTAAAAATATATTTCCTATATTTGAAAAGAGATATTGTTGTGTAGGTGAAAAATAAAACTATTGTTATATAGTGGTTATTAAGTCTCTATATTTGTGTACTTTAGTTTTTTTCCCAAAAATAAGATAGATATAAGATTTAAATTTTTGTCCACACCTAGAGGTACTTCAGTGATGGAGCTAGAAATTTTACAAAGAATGTTAAAAAATTACACAAGTATTTTTTTTTTTTTGGATCAATGAGTACTAAAAAAAACTGCTTGCTCTTTACAAAATTTGAAGAAGGAAAAAAGGCTTTAAACGCTGCAACACGTGAGATTCCAACTCATGACCACCTAAAGCCTAAATTTTAAATGTGTGCTAGAAACCACTATAGTAAATATTTTTTTTAAAATATAACACTAATATATATGATCTAGAAAGGGGAGCATGCAGTCGCGTGAACCCACGAAATCCCTCTAGATATGCCCCTTAAAGAAAGGAAGCTTAGAAGTTTGTAAAAGCTTTGGCCTGAAGTTACAACAAACTTGATATATTTTGCTACATGAACTCCTATGTAAATGTTTTCTTTTCTGTTTTCTTATTTATTTTTTTCCATTGGAACACTTCGAATTTGTAAGAAAAAAAAACACGTCGGATATTTAGGAAAAAAAAATGATGAGTGTTAGTAAAAATAAGATTTTTTGGGATTTTGCATAAAATTAGGAAGAGATAAATTATAAAATATAGGCATAGAATTGAGTAATCCATAAATGAAGGAAAGAAATATGAAAATAAACAATGAGGGAAAGGAAAAAAAAGATTTTTTTTTTTATTATAAATAATTTTAGAGTGTTTACTTATTGTGACCATACAATGATACACACACAATGGAGACATTTTCGATTCTTCTCATATTAAGCAAACAATTCGGTGGTTGTTACATAATATTTTCTTGTAGTCATCTAAACAATCACTTTGAATTTTTTTTAAAAATAAATTGAAAATATATATCCCAAGTATAGGGAAAGAGAAGAATTAAAGAGGGAACTTTGACATATGATGAATGTTTAGTAAGTTGAAATTATTGAAAAAGGATAAAATGTGGCTCCCAAATAGTAAGGGAAGCCCTGGAAGCAAAAAGGGTAATGGAAATGGGACAGGAGTAGTTGCACTTGCTATTGATAAAGATAAAGGAAGCCAATATGCAATAAAATGGGCTACTGATAATTTGGTTAAGAGAGGACAAACTCTTGTTCTTATTCATGTTGTCACCAAGCCTATTGCTTCACAATGTATGATTCCCATCTCTCTTTCATTATATATAATGTTTCCCTTAAATCAATTCTTCTTGTGTGTATATCTTTGAATTTGATTTTATGTATTATCGATTCGGTTTATTGGTTTTCAGTCTATAAATACGCTTATAATTTTTATTGGTTTATCGTTTTTGGTCCTTAATGATTCGGTTTTCTGTTTAAACAATAAGAAAATGTTTATAAATTAAATATATGACTTCGCCAATAATTTGACGTGACAAGACAATAATGTAACTTTACAGAGCGCTCATAAAATAGAAACAAGGGATAAGGCACAAGTACCCCTCTAGACTATGACCGAAATTCCAAAGATACACCTTAACTAAACTAAGGTCCTATTACCTCCGAAGTCATTTTTTTGTTGTAATTTTGTACAACTTTTGGCTTACGTGGCGCACTCCGTGACTCCACGTAGTTGAGGCGCGTGGGAGATATTTGGATGTCACGTAAGCCAAAAAAGTGTACAAAATTACAACAACAAAAAAAAAAGGTTCAGGGGTAATAAGACCTTAGTTTAATTAAGGAGTGTCTTTGGGATTTCGGTCATAGTGTAGGGGTACTTGTACCTTATCCCTAGAAACAATAATAACTAGCATATTTTTTAAGGTCAAACATGATCCGGGATAAATATATTGCTAAATTTTGTGATTTAGAACAAACATATCACTCGTTAAAAAATGCTGCATGTATATTTTGTTTGTCTACCAAATGGTACATATATTCCCTCATCGTCATGACAATGGGTATTTCATTTCATATATAATCTTTGCCTTAGTTTACTTGGTTGATCATAAGTGTACATGATCCAAGTCCAGAGATGAGTTTGAATTCCTAATGATGTGATGAAAATATGCAGATGGAAACTGTGGTGGTGTTCATGTTGTAGATGGAAATTTATCTCCACACGGCCAAAACCTTGAGAAACAAACCAAAGAATTGTTTCTTACTTTCCATTGCTTTTGTACACGTAAAGATGTAAGCACTCTTTTCAATCACATTTTCATCAACAATATCAATCTTTTTTCTTTCATCTGTTTTTTGTTTTGAACAGATTCGTTGCTTGGATGTAATACTTGAAGATGCAGATGTACCAAAAGCACTAACAGAATATTTATCTAGTGCTGCCATTCAAAATTTGGTTCTTGGAGCATCTAGGCATGGCTTTATCAGGTCATATCTTTTAACATTAACCAACTCCCAAATACATAATGCATCAGTAGCGAAGTCAGAAATATCGTGTCCCATATTGCATTTGTTGAATGTTTGGTTAAAGATGTAATATAAAGACTCATAACTCAAGTATCTGTGACAGACGGTTGAAGGTTACAGATATACCAAGCAGTGTATCAAAGGGAGCACCAGATTTCTGTACTGTTTATGTCATCTCAAAGTCAAAGATCTCTTCTGTGAAAAATGCTTCTCGCCCGGCCCCTATGGCATCGCCTCTTTATAAGAAAATACAGCAATTGGAAGAACATGTTCATAGTGGTGGTTTTACCCCTACTGCAACTAACAGGGCCATCCATAGTATGACATCCATGTTTTTTGCCTGCTTTTTTTCTTAATATCAGTACTTTTTTTTTTAACTTACCTTGTCAAGTAACTACATGTGCAGTTGGATCAGTCGGTGACAGGTCTCAACGACGATCATTCGTAACTGATGACAGCAGAAAAATTGGGTAAGTTTAAAGACCTGGTATTGTTATTGCTATTGCTACACCTATTTGAACATCTTTATGGCTATTGCTATTGCTACAAAAGAATAAGATGTTCTGCTTAATTATATATAATGTATACAACACTAAAGCCAGCAAGTTTTGGAAGCAGGTCACCATTTGATAGACGAAGAGTCATCCCTTCAAGGATTTTTTCTGACCTTTCTGAAGCGGATACGGATTTATCATTCGTCAGCTCTGGTAGGCCAAGCACTGATCGTACATCCTCCTTGATGTATGATGGCATGGATTCTGGACGTATTTCACAAATATCAACAAGTTCAGATAGTAGCTTTGGCTCGGAGCGCTTGGGAGCTAGGGGGAGTGAGCTCAGCTCTTTCAATGACTTCTCATTATCCTCATTTGAGACTGTAAGTTTACCTTCTTTGTATGCTACACAAGTAACTTCTTCAGGAAACACTTGATATCGACGAAAACCAATGTATCCTTAATGCAATATACAATATATTGTGGTTTACTGCTCAGTTACCCTTCTTGAGTAGTCTTAATTCACGTTATGAGCTATATACGGAGAACTGAAAGCAACAAGCTAGGAGAATAGTAAGTTGAACCTAGGAAGCATAATGCATAGCCACCTAATTTCTTTAATTATATTTGAAGCTCATACAGAAGCATAATCACTGTTAAGTATTAACATCACTGTTTAAAATTCAAAGGACGATGGAGAGGCCGAAATGAGAAGGCTAAAGATGGAGCTTCAGAGGACAATGGACTTGTACAGTACAGCATGCAAAGAAGCACTGACAGCAAAACAGAAGGTGAAAAAAACTCATCTCATACTTATCAATGGAATAGGATAGTTTTTTTATATGCTATATGTGTAGTCAGTGGAGCTCAATCTATGGCGGGTGGAAGAAGAAAAGAGACTGGAGGAGGCACGGCTTGCAGAGGAAGCTGCAAAGGTAACAGCAGAGAAGGAGAGAGATAAATATAGGGTTGCCATGGAAACTGCTGAAGCAGCTCAAAGGCTTGCAGAACTTGAATCAAAAAGAAGAGTAGATGCTGAAATGCAAGCCCATAAAGAAGCAGAAGAGAGGGAGAAAGCAATGATGAACTTAGGTCAAGTTGATTTTAGATATAGGAGGTACAACATTGAAGAAATTGAAGAGGCAACACAATTTTTCTCTGATTCTCTCAAGGTTGGAGAAGGAGGATATGGTCCTGTCTACAAATGTTATCTTGATCACACACCAGTAGCAGTTAAGGTCTTACGTCCAGACGCAGCACAAGGAAGATCTCAATTTCAGCAAGAGGTACAGTATGCATATTGAACTTAATGTGTGTTTATGAAACAAAAAGTGCAGTTTCAAGGACATATCTTCTGGAAGCCTAAGAAATGATAGTGTTAAGTATATTAAGTAGTTTTCGCTTTTGTATCTATTTAACGCAGGTTGAAGTCCTGAGTCGTATGAGGCATCCTAATATGGTACTACTTCTTGGAGCTTGCCCAGAATATGGTTGTTTGATATATGAGTACATGGCAAATGGAAGTTTAGAGGAACGTCTCATGCGACGTGGAGATAAAAAATCAACACTCTCATGGCAGCTTAGATTTCGTATTGCAGCGGAGATTGCCACTGGCTTGCTGTTTCTTCACCAGACCAAGCCAGAACCTCTGGTCCACCGTGACCTCAAACCTGGAAACATTCTTCTTGACCATAATTTTGTAACCAAGATTAGTGATGTTGGACTATCAAGGCTTATCCCTCCTTCTACTACTGAAGAAGTAACACAATACCGGATGACATCTGCAGCTGGCACATTTTGCTATATTGATCCAGAGTATCAACAAACAGGCATGCTTGGGGTTAAATCAGATGTTTATTCCTTAGGAATTCTTCTTCTGCAATTGATAACAGCCAAGCAAGCAATGGGCATAACTCATTATGTTTCTCGATGCATTGAGAAGGGGGAAGAGCTTATAGAGATACTAGATCCTTCGATTTCTGATTGGCCAATCGAAGAGACCTTGAATTTTGCAAAGCTAGCACTCCAATGTGCAGAACTGAGGCGGAAGGATCGGCCAGACCTGGGCAAAATAGTCTTACCTGAGCTTAGTCGATTGAGAGCATTGGGCGAAGAAAATATGGGTCCCTTGGTGATAGGTGGAAGTGCTTGCCCCTCCCCCAGCCACAGCCAAGCATATACATCACAGGCAAGTTGGTGAATCAATAAATTCTTCTATATCTTATTGTTAATACTAGTTAGAAAATGAACTATATATCTAGTAGCGTGTGAATATCTTGCTAGTGATTTGTGACAAAGAAAGTAAGTTGTAATACATTATGAGCAGGAAATGTCAAGTGAACCTCGAGCGAATTCTGGACTAAGTATCAAAAGTGTTTCAACTCCATCTTATTCACAAGAAAAACAATCAGGTACTTAAATGTTGTAGTATATATTTTTTTTTGTCTTTTGTAAGTGGAGCTGACCCCTCTATGATGTGCAGGATCAGGGGATGAATAATTTTAGTTAACCAGTACATAAATAATTCAGAATAGCAACTGTAGTTTTTTGCTATTCTTCTGTTGTATATAGAAGGATCCACAGCTCGGGCGTGGATGCCACTGAAGCTTATCACAGCATACTGTGACTTTGTTGTATAATGTGTTCAATTTTGGGTTAGATTCCAAGGGCAGAGAAATTTGGGAGTGATAAAATAATAATATTTGCATTGTAACTTGTAAATAGTTTTTTAACCTTATGGTTCCAAGTGAACAGTGAGCCCTAGACATCTGGATAACAGTTGTAGTGGATGTTCACTTTATTGAGTTGTAAACAATAATGTAATATATTGGAGTCATTTTCTGGTGAAATATTTGTACCATGTGAAGTTGACAAGATGTATAATAAATCTTGGCATTTTCTCACTCCCATAGTTTTCTCTCGAGTTAATATCTCAATTTTGAGAATTTATCTAGCAAAATCATTGAACTTTGTTTTGTATCTATAAAATCACTCAACTTATACTTTTATATCAAAAAAATAACTCAACTTAAACTCCTGGATCCGCCACTACCTTCACCCCATTCTGAACTGTCAGAAAATATGTAGAGGCAGTTTGTTGCCCAAAACTCACTCGAGCCCTTTGGGTCCTAATTATGGAAACCCCTCAAACAAGTTACATATAGTAAGTATGACCTGTACCAAGCTGAATGAATGGTTGGGCCCTCAAACAAGTTACATAAGCGCATCATTGAGTAGCCAGCCACAAGCAGTAGCTTAATTATCCTTGTTTAACTACAATGCCATTGCACATGGCAACTATATATTGTTAGGAATTTGCTTTTTCAACTGCAGTTAATTTTACTTTTACTGCTTTATATTAGATAAGACTTAGTCAATTAGTTGTTAGCCATCTATTCCTATTATTTAGGAGTAAGTTAGTGAGTTAGGAATATGCTAGTCGTGATTTACTGCTTTCTGTTTTTCATTACAGTCTTATAAATGTAATCTGAGGACATCAATAAAATGTTCTTCTACCAATGTTCTTCTTGACTTCTTTGCTTTCTAATAACTCATACTTCTAAAATTTACCAACATATATATATATACACACTTTAACCTCATGATAGTGTCCAATCAACAGGAGATAATAACAAGTCGCGCGCGGATCTTGGCACAAGAGATTGTCGCTATCCAACATCTAACTATAATAACCTTTTCATGGATACTATCTTCTACATGTTCATCGATCTAGGGGACATTAGTACTTGTTCCATCCCATTCATATTGTTTATATGGAGAGTCATAATAATATTGAGACCATGTATGTTCAATCATTATGGAGGGCCTTTGCTCAATATTCCAACAAATAAACACCTTATAAATATAATATCGTTCATCTTCTCAGGGACATTAAATCACATAGTTTCTCATCAACTAATTAGTAAGTCCCCAGAGCCATTATACTTTTAAATTCTCAATTACCAGACAACTTTTCAAACTCTTTACATAAATACACAATTAAGATAGCATAATCTCTATAATTCCCTACCATTTACAAAAATCTCCTCTCGAATACATCTCTATCCACATTCGTGAGCTATGTATCCATAGGTTTCTTGATATATCCGAGATCTTACAATTTTAAGGAATTTTTGTAATTTGGAAAAAAATAAATAGGGATATGATGTAATTAGCTCTTAACACTATGAGATTTATATAATTTTTACTCTCTTTTTTTTCATTTGTAATATCTTTTATTCTTTAAAAACTTATTATATGTTCATATTAGAAAATGACGTTTATGTATTTTTGTTGTAACTGAATTTTATACACAAGTACAACCAAACATGACACCTACGAATTACACTTCATTTTTGTTGTAGCAACAAACAGGTCATTTTATTACTATTTTGTGTAATACCTTGGTGAAGTAATAATGACAGTGATTTCCAAACAGACCCTAAATGAACATCTCTGACTCTGAATGCAGAACTATGTATTTTTCATAAAAGAACCCTCAACCTAACATTATACAAGAAGCAGCATTCATTTTTTATATAGTAAAAGAAGACTTCTTGGTTTTCTTAGTCTGTACGATTTTTTCGAACCAGCAAGGATAAGAATGAGTATGTACAAGCACAAGGAGATATCAAGTTTAAAACTACCTGTCCTATACAATTTCCTATAACATCAAGAGTTGCGCGCTGCAAGTGCTAACTTCTATTTAAGCTTCAAGCAAGTAAACAAAATCCACTTTGCTAGGCTACTCGATTCTGGTATTCATGGCTTCTGAAAGATGTGATTTGTTGCAATCTCCTTAAATCTAACTTGTAAAAGAGGGTATTGAATAACTCAACTGCCTGTGGTCCAACCCAAACTTTATGCACCAACTACAACTTCCCGTGGAGCAAGTGATGCACGATCCAGGTAAGCCATAGAGAGACAAACCAAAAATCGATGACAAGCCACAGCTGATGCTTTGATAAATATCAGAGATGAAGAGCATAAAAACCTCATCATCAGTATCGGACTTTTTCTTGCAGAACCTAACACCTTGAATAGAATCAGTTTAAGCCGGCGATCTCTGAGGGTTGAATTGCAATCATAGTCCCGTGAGAATACAGCAGAAGACGATCCTAGCATTACATTGGGCGCACCAGTTAGCTGCATTTGGGAGCTAATTACATTACTTCCAAGTGCTTCAAATATCCACTGGGACAGTATATCAGCAACAATTCTGCAAAGGTGTTGACGAAAGAACTTTGCCTCCTTGGAAATAAATGCTCTAACTAATGAAGCACCATCCTACAACAGAGAAATGGACATCAAGTTGCGACACAATAAGTATACTAAGTTGCTCGGACTTGGGTGCGGGTGCCCAATATGTATGCAGATCTAGAGGTCAGGTTCTTCATGATCTAAATTTTAAGATTCAGGGATACCGATCCAAGTACAGATATGGGTGCGGAGATTATTCATTCACCGGAACCAGAAGTCAAAATTTTGGTAGATACGGATCCCGTAAAAACTATTAGGCAAAATATAATTCAAATATCTAAAAATTGAGTTATATGAGATATCATGTGGAAAACTTACAAGGTATTATGAGGAAAAAATATTAATCAAGAGAATAATCCTTGAAGATGATATAGGGAAAAGGATTGACATAGAAATTTCAATATACATGGTACTCCATTTTCTTCAATTTCACCGTAGTTTTTATTTTGATTACAGAAATTATTGTATTTGTCCCAAATTTCTCCATTGATTTTGGTCAAAATACCTAAAGTTGGTTGAGCAAAATCCGTTATGGATCCCACACCCATGTCGTGTCGACATGGGTGAGGCACCGAAAGTGAAGAATCCGAGCAACTTAGCATGTATACATTGATTAGTTTTTCCATGTGTAAAAAAGAGATTACTAGGTCAACTTAATCTTTTACCTCCAAATATTCTCCTCAAGACACAAAGGCATATAATGAGAAGGAATTTTCCATCTCTGAATTATTTTTTTTTTTAGAAGGTAACAACTTTTCCATCTCTGAATTTAGATAAGTAAACAAACCATATGGCTCAATGCAAGAACCTACTTCCAACCCCCAGTCCCTTTCCGGATCCCATTTAAGGCCCATAGTTTGCAAACCTTTGATTCTTTTAGAAGAAACAGGTTGTCATATTTTAAGTAACAGTAAAAGAATATCAGGTCAAAGGCAATCAGGCAAAGGTACTCACTGCTGTCATTAACAGTCTTCTTAGCACAATACCGTCTTTAGATGGTAGTATTCTCAACACCAAGTTTGCAACATCAAATACACCAGAGGTTCCATCAGAAGAATAAGCAAGAGATGCTTGAGGATTTGGTGCCATGATAGTGTTCAAATAAGCAAGAGATGATTGGGGATTTGGTGCAGTGATAGTGTTCAACCCTTTCCTGAAAAAATTAGCAGTCAACATCCAATACGTACAACGAGAAAAAGCTTCTAATTGTCATTGTGTCTGAAAGAGAAGCTAAAGATGCAACCAAATGCAGTAGCAAACTGGCCCATCAAGTCTATTCTTTCAGATTTCCTCACTGAATAGAGAATGCATCAAATTTTAAATGAATGCTGTACGTACAAAATGTGCATTTCTCCTAATATTGCTTGGGAAGATGTAAAAGTTCAGGGACACTAATTTGCTATTAGTCCAGTGTCCCATTCCTCAGGCTTCTTGAAAAGATTACCAATACACTAGCTTGTCATTCCTCGTCAGAGAAAGAAAGGAAAAGATGAAATAGCTCATTTCCTTCTCTACCCTCCTTATTCTCCTGCTAAAATATTTCCATCCACTCAAACGCATAATACTGCTCTCAAGTCCCAACGACACAGAGTGCCTTTCACCACTGGATACATGAAATAACAGTTTTTACATCCTTTGAGGAAGCAGTTAAAGAAGAAAAAGAAAGAAGACACTCTAGCATCATAAAAAACATTGATACGAAGAACTGAGAAAGCGAAGTAGAAAGACATTATAAAAGATAATGAGAAGGCCAGGTAGCAAAGCGGAGCAGTTTTGATCTCCTATATCTATTGAAAAGTTTGTCTCTTTCTTCCTCTATGCAAAAGTAACAGAAGAGGATGTCAAAGGAGAAGCATTTAGAACACACTAGGAAACAACATTAACATTCACTTAAAAATCTACTGAATAGAAAAACAAAAAACAAGTGTACAATGAACAAAG